AAAATCACTATCAGATGTTATCAGATGGTTGGTAGGATTGCACTTCAGCCGATGCGACCTGCTTCTGTTGCTCTCTAAATAGCCAATGTCAATACATTGCTAACAGAGAAATACAGTTCTTTGACTTGAACTGAACAAAAAAAATATTGCACACAAATGTGCAGCTTTTTAACAGCTCTAGAGGATTTTTTTGTATAATCTAACATTCATCTTGTGGCAAAGAAAGGTTCAAACTCAATGCAATGTTTATGCAACTCTACCTCCTTATTTCTACTGAAAGCTTTAACAAGTAAATCAAAGTAGTTTCTAAGGCAAACCAGTTACATTACGGTTCACTTACTGCAAGTGCCAAGTACTTTTAGCAACATTAAGAGCTCAGTTCATGCCAAAACTATCGTCTGAGAAGTCATTTTACACATTGAAATGTCTCCAGGTCCCAGGGAGTTCAAATGTGCCACAACCTAGTCAGATCCAATATTTCTGGAGGCAGAAATCAATGTGGGGTCCAGCAGAGTGAGAAAGAGGGCTATAATAAAGATGGCTGAGTTTTATATGGTCCTCCAGCACCAATCGAGTTCTGATAATGAAGCTTTCACATTTTCAGCTCTCCCAGCCTGGCCAAGTGATGTCACCCGTAACTTGGCAGATGTGCACAATGTCCCCTTTCACCCATGAGATCAGAACATCTGCTCAGTGCATTTATTTCAAGCTAAGCTGATGATAAAAACTTAATTTTATATTGACTATAAAAGTAACTATAATGTTTACAGTACTTAATTCTTGTTTTTATGTGTTGCTACAGCAGTGCCAGGATTTTATAAAATATACAAATGTCAATAGGAGAATTGACATCAGCTCATCCAGTCTGAAGATTTCTATATTTAGTGCAAATGGGGGTGGTAGCTCAGCCGTTCTGTACCAAGTATTAGGTGATTAATATTCCAGATGTGTTCTTGTTGTACACATTTCTAGTTACGGTGTAATTTCTGGTTCCCTTTTTCTGTACTTTGATTCTACTAAAGGATTTCTTTATGGAAAATGTGTCCACTAAACCTGCCATTGGTGAACTGACCAATGGTCACTCATTTCAGGACAGGACAATGGGTAGTGACAATCTGGAGGAACATAGTATGAATACTTAAACAATCACAAATCAACCAGAATTAGCTGAAATGATCCTCTGATAGTGTAACAAACGGGTAGAAAAATAAATTCCAATTGAGTCAAGTATCCGGGGAAAACATAGTGACACACCTGTCATTGCACTCATTCTGAATTATTCTTTTTACATAATGAAACATGAAATAGAAAAATACTGTGGCATCAGTGCCATCTTTATTCTGCCTGCCTTACTATTATAACATTTTAGCTATTGGATAATTTAAGTAAGTGTTTGCCCAATGCTGGAGTACAAAACACTCCAAACACACATTTTGACGGGTATACGTAATGCTTTTTTTGGATTAAATAACACTTCAGCATTGGCATTAAGCAGAGTGCACAACAATACTGCCATTTAGCAAAACATAGCCCACACTTGAATTAATGATCAGTACTTCAAGCTGATGATGTAACGCAGACTCAATCAGTGTCATCAATGCTGAGTAGTGTTTTAGGATTTCATGACACTGAACAGGCCTCTTTTTTTGGCTCAACTGTCTAAAGGGCACGATTGCTGAAGGACAGCAGTTTAAAAAAAAAAAAAAAAAAAAAAAACGTTCAGCCCACTCAAATATAAAATGTCTCACATAACTTGCTGGCCTTATACCAGTAACTTCTCTTTTATAATATTTTTACATTTAAAAAAATGCTGAGATGTCGTCTAGTGATAAACAGAATAAGCAATGCCACCGATGATGCCGTTTGACTTTTTATGCTCTTTAAAAAAAGAAAAATGCTATTTAAAATCATCCGTTTCATCTTCTCCACCCTCATTCCCACCCTCCTGGATGTCTGCAAACACTGCTTTTTAATTTGGTCCTAATTAAGGCTCCCTTTCTAAAATGTCACAGGAATCATTTCCTGCCGATCGGTTATTCCCAGCACTTGCTTTACTGTTGCTCAGCATTGACAAGAAGTGACGACACAACTTCTAACTGGGCAATTTCTCCTGACATTTGCACTGTCAGTCATAATTGGGCAACATAGATCACTTGAGGTCATTCTACTTACTAGAGTGCCGAGTCGTTCAGCTCAAACTCGTAACCTCTGGATGCAGCTGCTCGCACCCCTTGGTCAGACCAAAGCGCACAGAAAGCATGAGCCACAAAGGGAAGCAGCTCCTGGTCGTCCTCCAAACACTGGCTGCAGGACAGGACAGAGCAAGCATGTATCTAATGCATAAGAAAAAATATAATCAGAACAAGAAACCTATCATATATTGTCAATCAGATTAGAGTAAATGTGTTTTTCTCCCCACTAAACAACATCACAACACTGTAGATTGTGCCTAAATGAGCAAATATGAAGTAATCTCAAATTGAAACGCTCACAACCCTCTATTGATTTTCTTCCATTGAAAGATTAAGACTGACACCTAGTGCAATAAAGAAGTACTGGAAAGAAAAGCAGCTTCTATAGAGCTAATTTTGGACTGCAAAATGTACTTTTAATGATGCGTTATTAGCAACTGTTTCTTAGCATATCACACATACACTTAAAATGCTATAATTCATTTAGATTTTATGCTTTCATTTGATAATCTTTTTTTTCCTCTCTAATTCTGGAGCAGTCTGGCACTTCAGTTTCCGAGTTGATCAAGTTCTACCTTATTGCTCCTCACCTTGTTCTTCTTGTTAGCCAGGTTAATCCTCAGCATCCCCATTCCTCGCAGAACAACCTTCATAGAGGTCAGCAGGTTGTCTAGGACGGCGGGCTTGAAACTGATGAGCTCCTGTTTGGTGAAGCCATGACTGTGTATTATCTGCATCTGTTTGATCAGGGTGCTCTTCCCGCTCTCTGCAGCTCCTGACACACAAACCAGAGAAGTGCTTTCACTTCAAAATGTCAATAATTTTGTGATGAGACCTGATAAATGTGTTTAACATTTCAGTAGTTCACCCACCAAGCAGGAGGATTTTCACCACATTCATCTCAGTCCTGGCATGTTCACAGAGATCCTGCTCTATTTTAGAGCTCTGCAGTTTGGCCTTCTTATCCTCTCCTGTTTTGTCCTGGTGAAGGCACATTCTCATGCAGATCTGAAGAACAGTTTGAAGCCAATAACTAACTGCACAATGTCTTGTTTGTGAAACCTTTACAGCTAATACAAACATCCCATAAATTATTTTACAATTAAAACACAAAATTAAATAGAAATGTATGTCTGAATGTAATCTCGGAAGTGTAATTTAAAAAAATAAAATAAACATTTAAACTCTGAGTAAATTGTATAAGGAGCAAATATTTTCTTTTTTTCCCACTTTAGCTGTACAAGCTATTCCCTTGAAATGACGGATAAACACTCACAAGACTTATACACCATTTAAATAAATGGTTCGTAATGTTTTGTCTTTATAATTAATAACTGACTAGCATCCTAAAGGTTTATTCTATTAAGTAATTTAGTTACTCTAGTAGTTATTCTATTAAAAAAGTTACCATGTTTTGGTGCATATTAACCGCAAAGCGCCACTTTTTGGTTGTAGTGTTTTGAAAATAAAGTAGTTAATTATGAGCTAACCAATGACGTTAATATGTAATACCTGAAGTGGGGTTGGTAGTTTATTTAGACAGCAAAACATCGCTCTGCTCGCTCTGTCGCCGGTGTCGTATGATGTACAGCCTGAACTGCTAACAGACAGTGTTAGCAAGAAACGTAGTAGCTAATTGCTTAATTAGGAGCACGTGTGGAAAACCTGTCTCTCCAAATGCCCTCGAGCTGTTAACCACAGGTGGACAAACCTTCAAAGTAAGAGTACAATTGTAAGTGGTGACGTCGACAGATAAAATAATAATAATAATAATAATAATAATAATAATAATAATAAGAAGAAGAAGAAGAAGAAGAAGAATGATAATAATAATAATAATAATAATAAGAAGAAGAAGAAGAAGAAGAAGAAGAAGAAGAAGAAAAGAAGAAGAAGAAGAAGAAGAAGAAGAAGAAGAATGATAATAATAATAATAATAATAATAATAATAATAATAAAAATAAAGATACAAATAAATAAAAAAATAAAAAAATATAAAAATAAAAAAATAATAATACTATTATTATACTATATTATATATATATATGTATATACTATACTACTACTACTACTACTAATAAAAATAATAATACGATTTGTATGATTGCTGGTTGCTTACAGCATTGAGTTGACACAAGTATTATAATTTGCCTATTACAACCTTGAGATAGTAGGTCGACTTTACTATTTCCATTTCCTACTATTTGTTTTTATAATAAATAATGTTCAAAATTGAGCGACAAATTTGTAATATGGCATATTTAAACTGCTTTTACTAAGAGATTATTGCTATACTATTGCCCATACAATGAGTTGCCAGCACAGCATTTGACCTTTTTTTCTCATAAGATTTGTTTTGGGGCTTTTTTATGCCTTTTATTTTAGAGATAGGACAGCGGACAGTCAGAGTCAGAAACCTGGAGAGAGAGCATATATAAATGACTTGTGATATTTTGCACAGCCTACATGAACCTTAAGTTCGGGGTTATATTTCTTTAAAAGTCATAAGTTCAGGCCTTTGATTTAAACTGGTACTCATATAGGTCAGACTACATATGAACTTTCCTGCTCTCTCTGGGCACCAGTGTTCTAATGACCTGGCATTTAACGAACCATCTGTGTGAGTCACACATATGCTGTAAAATTCAGATCATTTTATTCTGATCAAAGGTCATTTCTGTGTCGGAAAAAAAATGACCTTAACCTTTTATAATGTGTCTCATGCACAGCCTGCTCATTTACTTAAGACAAAAATGACACATTACACATTGTTTTCTGTTTGAGTGAGGAAAGAAAATTACAAAAAGCCTTCAGAAATAAAATGTTATAATTATCAGCAATAGTGTACCTTAGTCCAATCATTTTTTACAACTGGGAGTTGTTGTTAACAAACATTATAGCCTACATTGAATACATTCCGACTTTACATACAGACATTGTTATTATGCTTTTTACATATGAAACCATCTATACAGTAGTTAATGCAGAGGAGGTAAGTAAAATACACATCTACAAAAAATATATTATTTCATCCGATTTGATATAGAGACAGAGGTTAATTGTACAGAGTTAAAGACAGTAAGAGGTCTATTTCATGAGTGAGAGGTCTATTTCATGATCAAGTCAACAACATTGAACATCTGTCATTATTCTCTATTAAAACTAAAATCTAAATGTTAAAAGGAGTCTGTTAATGCTCTGAAGTGTTCTCTAGATTAGGATCAATCTAAGGTAGTGTTGCTTTAAAACAATGCATTTTGCACTCAAAAAGGCCGGGCATGCAGGTCTCTTCGATGTGCATTTGGGAGTTAAAAATCAGTTCTGACAATTTAACAGAAAATTTCTGATGATTTTTCGAGCAGTCAGTGCAGTCTGAGAGGAGCGAGGTCTGATATGTACATGAGGTCCAGTGAGAGTCCATCAAAGTGTCAACACCTCAGACAACCAAAGTTAGAAGCAGAGAATCAGGAGAACTGTTCTTCCCTGACTCTCTACTGGTTTTAGCATCCTGCAGAGAGACTGTAATCAACCTATAATACATACATACAGTAAGTACAGTATATACAAAGATAGTTTAGCTAGGGGGCGACAACCATTGCTGGACAGAAAGCAGTGACAACCCCACATTAATGACAAACCAAATCACATCCTTTAAAGTTCAAGGCATGGCCAACATCTCAAGTCCCCACACTTCCAATGTGCATGTCCGAATCCCCGAAAAATAACTCATAAAAAATGTGTTTGAAAGCAAAAACTTAAAAAAGTATTTTAAGACACAAAATAGACATTTGATAGCTTCCTTTTTCCTACTCTTGACTAATATTCTGTCCATAACTCAGTCAGTATATGTGAGTGCTGACTAATATGATCATGTAGTTGCATATGTAGGATATATGAATACACACATAGGATCCTCACACACATCCACACACACACGCACACACGTACACCCACACTGTATACCTGATACTCACAGCAGACTATGCCGACCTGGCTATAAATGGGCGGCTGTTAGTACTGTTGTCATCAGCCATGACTGTCACTGTTATCAAAGAGTTGTTTTTAGTGTACATGAGTTTAAGTGTCACTGTTATGTCAGTTGATGGTGCTTGTTTTGGGGCCTTTCTGCAGCACAGCCTGAGGTCTTTCTTTAGTCTTTTCCTCCTCTTTTCGCTTCATGGCCTGAATCACAGCGATCTCTTTGGCCTCTTTCTTCTGGTTCCTTGCTTCAAATAACAACCTGAATCAAACAAGGGAAAAGTGGAGGTTATCAACAAGCCCTTACACACTTGTTTATACTTTTCACAGCAGTAAAATAAAACTTCTAGAGCCCTAGTTGAGACTGACGTTTCAAGGCTCGATATTTACGCTCCTATGACGTTTAACCTTCAATCTGAATGCCGCGGAGGCATAAAAGAGGGGACAAAGTGATCCCCCTTCTGTGACACCTTCTGAGGTAGTAACAGATGCTTACAGTGGTGAGAGGGGATGAGGGGATCAGCGGAGCCAGCGGGAAAGAACATTGCTGTGTGTGTGTGCGCATGTCTGACTGTTTGTGTATGTGGAGCTCCTGATGTGCTGCTATCTCTCGCGCTTTGGCAAAGCTGTATGCCATGTCATTTCACAAACTGAGACACTAATATTATGCAGTAGGGGAACCAATATGAATGTCTTATGGCATAATGAAAATAGAGCTTCCTGACAGTCTGTTGTTGCAGAATTACAATATGAAAAGGGCTAAAGATAACTGATAATTGTTATTTCTGCACCCATGGCACAGTGTATTTTTCTTCTACTTCTAGTTTTTTTTTTATTACCTGTTCTTAATTATCCTCTGCACAATGGCATCTGTGGTAAGGCTGTTCCCACTGTCAACAGTACGCAGGATTCCTATCCTCCTTGGCTCCTGGATAAGAAGCAAATAGAGCAAAATAAGTCTAATTCATCACCCCTGCAGATTACAGTTGCTAGCTCTTTGTGAGTGTGGAGTCTTACCGCATGAGGGTCGGATCCATCCTTGTCAGGATATATTTGTGTCTTACCATGGCATACAAGATCCACCTGTGGATGAGAATGTGTGCTATGTTACTGATTTTTAATACACATAAATGTATACTATATTCATCAGGGACAAGTGTCTTCTTTGTTGTTACCTTAAAATGGTCAATCAAGTCTTTAGTGACTGCAAACGGTGCACCAATCACCACTTCGGAAACATACTGGGGGAAAAAAGTAGACAATAAATTTAGAAATCAATTGAACAAAATCACCTTTAGACTAAGAGCAAGAGGACAAACCTACTCGACAAGCCAGGACGCTGAGTGTTCTCTCGTGGACATTCATGATGGGGTAGTTTTTCCCTTTGTAGCGATTCACCTCCTGAAAGAACACCAAGAAGAATCACAATCAGATGTAGTGTTCGGGCATGTGTGCACATACAATCCATTTGAAAATAGTGCTGGGGTGAGGAGTACAAGGGGTGCTGAAATAAACATGATAATAAATGATGTAACCTATGGGTTGATTTACACATGGTAGATAGTTTTACAGAGTTTACATTAAAACAGTGTGTACAGGTTTTAAAAAAGATAAATCCGAAGTAGAATGCAAACACGACATTCAGTGAGGCCATAAATGTCTCATGCAAAAGAAGACTCACCTGATCAAAGTGCAAACCCACTATAATGTATGGCTTTTCTGCGAGTTTATGCACCGCTTCAAGGAAGTCAACATGGCCGATGTCTGACAGGTGACGGGTCAAGGATGTTTGTGAAAAAGTGACTTGTTAGCAACAGAATTACTAACAACACACACAGTCCTTACACAGCTGCTTTTGTGAATAGGAGAACAGACAAGTCTTAGTTGACATTGAATGCAAATGCAAAATATACATTTCAAAAGATACGGAAGAGGTCAAAGGCTCCTGCCACATAGATGATGGTGTCTCCAGGTTGAGGCTCCTGCCCTGAAGCAAACTGGATGATCTTCTGTGACGTTTGCAGGAACTGAGACACCCCCGTCCAGGGACTGTGGCCCTTCTGCCCATGTGCCCCCCGTAAACCAGAGACAGGCAAAATGAGTACAACATGTACACACAGAAAGAATACACTTCAGTTAATGGCCATAAGCTGCATCGCTGCCACCTAGTGGTGAGCATAGTTACATCGCCTTTGGCTTACTGAGGGTTGTTCCAAAAAGCCTGAGCACATTTATTCAATAAGTGCCAAATTCACAGTGTTCCAGTTTTAACAGTTTGAATGGTGCAGAGAGCCTCTGCTGCTTTCACACTTTTTAAAACCCCAGCATGTTAACTCTGAGTTACTTTGCCCATCCAGGGAACAGAAGTGGCATTCACTGTTTACTGGCAGGGTCCACAGCTTGATTTTAAAGTGGGTCCACAGTAAAGGCCTTTGTTTAATAATGGTTGACATTTGGTCCACTTAGCAGCATTGGCTACTTAAATGACAAAACAATTAAGAGAGGGGAAGCTACTTTTTGTTTTAAACATGTGCCGTTAAGAAATTGGTAAAGGCTAAGGATTTCATATTGATTAGGTGATAAATATATTTGGTACCTACCTTTCCAAAGTTGTCTGTGTGCTGCTGATAGTCTGAACTATCCTGAAGAGAAGAGAGAATTGAGTTAGAAAGAGTAACATTTAGAGAGTACAAAAAGATGGGCAAGATGACAGCTTCCCAAAAGTGAAGCAAAAACAACTTGATCGCCCTCTGGTGGATTACTGCAGTATAGGACACACAGCATGCCTACTCCAGAAGTGCCATGGGTCAAACTTCAAATCAAAGTACAAGTAAAAAAAAATATTCTGTACGATTGTTTATCCTTATCTTGCTAATTTATATACAACTATTATTTTTTTGGAGAAGTTTTAGTAAGATTTTCAATGCTTTTAAAAGGGGGTGTAATGTCTAAATTGGCTCCTGAAGCATTTCGGTTTAGCAGAGAAGAGACACGACAAGAGTAGATGTAACTAGCTCTAACACTGCAGTGATTCAGCTTTCATAACTCTAAATGTCAGCTACTATGTCTACCAGCACTAGAGGCCGACCTGATGGATCTTTACAATGTTGTCCGTAAGTTAAATGTGTGTTTTGAGAAGCTAAAGGGGCAGGACCATAGATTGTAAAAATTATTTGATGAAGAGTTCATTCAGGGGAATTTGTTTTCCTATCGATGGCAGTCGTCATGCTGGAAATCCTGTCTCAACCTAATTTTCAGTCAACCTAATAACGGTTCAGAGCTGGAGCTGAGGCGGGTTTTAAGCCTCTTGACAAAATTTTATGTCACACCCGCCTGTCAATCAGATCAGCTACGCGCCTTGTAATGAATAACACTTATCGTTCATAAAATCAAAAAAATCACCTGCCGTACGGCATGTGCTGATCGAGACATAAACTAAACAGACCTAATCCAAACTAGGCTGTAGTGTTCATTTCTGCTGTTAAACTTGCTTTTTTAAATGGGTGTGTATGTGACTTCTGCAGCGGACACTCAATGAACTGCAGGATTTTCGGCTTCATCTTTCAACACCAAAGTTCACATCAACATCACGGCTCCATTATATCTACAGGGAAAACTCTGCCTCTAACTAATGTCACCTACATGACATGTCAGCAATAATTTGGCCTTATTTTTGTCAACAAGAGGAGGTGGAAACACCATGTCCATATTTGTACACGGTCAGTGGCTTATACTTGGACTGTGTGTACTGACACTGTATGCAGGAAATCTGTACTTACAATGTTGCTGTGGTGTGCTTTGGTCATCAGTAGCATCCTGCCAACCAGATCTGTAGTTGAAACTCCCTGGGTTCTCTTACACTCCCTGTAACATGCAAAGACACCATGTAACATATTTATAAATCACACACACAATGCCCCATTCTGACTGTATCTTTCAACATATTTTAAATGGAACTCACCTGTACCGGCCTGACTTCTTCACCTCTTCATATGTGTCTTTCCCGTCCACTGTTAGTGTAATATCATCTGAAACAACAGAAAACATGACATCCAGTTTATATCAAAGTGTTAAAACTCTGTAACAAAGCTTTATTCTTGCAACTGCAATCTTAATGTCTATTAATCTTCAAGTGCAGTGATGGGTTGTGGCCCCCTAGTGGGCTAAGAAGGTACTGCAGGTGGCTGCAAGAGGTCTTAAAAAGACAAAGAAATTAATCAATACATAAAAGTCTTTATCTTTTACTTACTTCAACATATTTTGTTGTTTACCAAATAGTTACATGTGAAGGGATTTATTTTTGCACTGCATTGTGCTACATTTTTCATGTAATGACATGGAAATGTTGCTTGAAAATATTAAATGTAAGCTAAATAGTGGATCAAACTTGTATGATCAAAGGTTTAAGTGGGCATAAACACTGTGTGTGTGAGTGTGTGTGTGTTTGGGGGGATCAGACCACAGAATTCTTAAATGGTTAATGGACTTGAGTTTGTATGGAGCTTATCTAGTCTTCTGACTGCACAAAGCACTTTGCTCAATGACACATTGACATGTGGCTTGAGGAGCTGGGGATCAAACCCCGCAGCATCTGGTTGAGAGACGACTGACTCTACCACTGATCCACAGCCGCCTCTTAGAGCTCCTGTGAGAAATTTTGGCACACCCTGCGATCAAAGCAGTACCTCTCATCTTAGATGATTTTGTGTCAGGCATGTCAGCATTAAATAAAACAACATAAAAATAATAAGTCCACACCCTGATGGTTTTGTTTACTTTAGTATTTCATACAGAGTCATCAGTACTCATTACAGTCTGTTTCATAACCAGCCAAGAAAACTCCTCACAGGAGCTTTGAGTCATGGAATGACTATTGGTGTTTCTGCAAAGGACATGAGGAAGGGCTCTACTGTACCTCCGTGCACACAGAAGTCACAGTTGTACTTGTCGAGGGTCTCTAGGGTGGTGACGTAAGGCGCTCCCTCCACGACCTCATCCACCCACTTTATGGCCCTCACCATCTTGTACCTTTCTGCCTGAGTGAAGACTGGTGGACCCTTGTGCTTCGCAATCTCACCTTGAAAACACAGCAAGATAAGAACACTTGTAACACATTGTTAGCCCGAATACACCCTGTGAACGTACATTAATAGAAGCACACTAGTGACTGATTTGGCATTGGCTTGGCCCTTGACATATTTTATTGTCAGATATTTTTGGACCTTGATATTAATGTCATTCTGGGTTATCTAAATGACAGTGTGTTGAAAGGAGGGTGAGTCACGACTGTTGCACTACAATCACAACATTCCCTTCAAAGTGTAAAGGGGACACTGAAGGTAGAGTAGATGCACTCTACTCTAGTTGTGGGAGGGACGATAGTCAGTGATTCTTACTGTCTGTGTGCACTCCAACGATGAGGTAATCTCCCATTGCCTTGGCCTGTCGCAGCTGGTTGGAGTGTCCATAATGGACCATGTCATAGCTGGGCGGAAAAAAGATAGTGAAAAGGGAATAAGAATTATCACCAAAGTTGCATAATGACAGTGAGGTAGAGTGGCTGTATGAGCTGTTCTTTTTTTTTTTTTTTTAACTCAAAGACAACGGATTGAGTGGATTTGTTCATTTATTGAATTTTGGAAGGGGGGATTAGGTAAAAAAAAACATGTCAATAACCCCTTGTTAGTACATAAAGATCTGTGCTGGTGAATAAAGCGTGGCTGTTCTAAGGGCTGAGCAATATGGACCAAAAATCATATCTTGATATACATATATATACTGTATATCTCTATATGTTCTTCTGTAAACAAAACAAAAGTAACAAAACAAAGTCCGTCCTCAGTCAGATCCACTTGGGCTGAATGCCAGATGTCACACAGACACTTTTATTAACAGCCAGCTGCACAATGTCAACATGTACATGTGTATTTTGTTATGCAGGGGGTGTTTGACTTTTGCTCAGAGAGAGAGGAGGGGGAGCAGGGTGAAGAGGGACAGTGAGAGGAGAAACAGGCTAACTCAGTTCTACAAATGAAACCTATAACGTTATTCTAACATAACAAACTACATCCATATTAACGATGATGTCTTACCCTATACCTGGCTCCAAAATATATCCATACATCTTAACAACTGCATATGTTTTCTCAGCCTACCTTTTCTAAATGGTAGATTTTTTTATGTATACATTTTGAAGCTCACACTGTTCTTTAATATTGAACAGGCAGACTCTTTTTGACACTGGGACGTACAGTATGAGTTTCCTTGATCACAAATTTTCCGCCTGGGATTCAGAGAGTATTTCTGTTTTGTTTTTTTTAACAAACTTGCAGCAACTTTGTCCAGAAAAAAAGATGAAAACACTTCAAAGTAAGTTACAATCAACGAGTTGAAGGTAGAATATGAATGGTTTGTTCATGAGATCAAATACAAGAGATATTTTTTGATATGCGTTTCTGATCATATCACTGTCATCCACACTCAATGTCATGTGATCGGCTGAATATCTGATCTGAGTCTCAAACATGAAAATGTCCAGCACACAGTGTGTTTTCCCTCCCTCACACTCCACCCTGCCTGTGATAGCATCTGGAGATAATTAGATTAGCACAGATTGCAGACTGAGACTGTATCGTTGTAATCTAGCATAGTAATAGTGAACAGATGGGTGTTAGCCTTCTATCACTATCACTACTGCCAACAGCTGACATCAGTGTCAACATATTTCTTCTGCTCTACTTTGAATATTATATAGATGTTTCATATGCACTAAAAAAGGAGAAGAATGCGTTCAAACCGCAGAAGTGACCACATGTAACACTGAATACTTTAGAAGGAGCTGATCAGGAAGTATCTGCAGGAATTTATTCAGTAACTATCAGCGTTCTGAGTGAGCAGGTAACTCAGAGAATCATAATAATGACAAGATAATAACAGCATCTCTGTCCGCTTCAGTTTATTGTATTACACGTCAGCACCCTCAGGAGTCAGGTGTAAAACAGGGCTATAAATAGCATCCTCACAAATCAATAAGAAAGCAGATGATCCTCGCCAGAATTACAGTGTGTACACAGCCACAACAGTAATATAATCTCACGTTGTTTCCAGCTCCATTCTTTGCTAAAGAGAGAGGCAGCATCTGCGCCTGGTCTCCCTGCAAAACAAGCAGCTCTGCACCTGAGGGTGTTGTGATAGAAAAACAACTGTGACTACACTCGAGGTCTTTTCTGCGAGTCGTTATTTGCACTACTGCTGGAACAAAATGTGCAACAATGTAAAGGTTTTTTTTTTGGTCAAGCCAGCTCATCACACAGACGAACAAAAGATTTCCAGTGTGACGTGCTGCCCGTCTGCTGCAATGAGATCCACATGTGCAGGCACCGAGGCGATAGTGCAGGGCCAGAAGAATCTAGTAAGGAGGGAGGGCATTTGGAGGTCAATGAATGGAGAAGAAAAACTCTGAGACCCAGACCGAATTACATAAGAGCAGGAGGCTGCTTCTGGGGTGTTATACTAGCTGCTTGTGCGACGTGTGTTACCCTATTCCTGTTGTATTTTTCAGCAGGGATAGGTCGTGACAGTATCAGTGTGGGATGATGAAATATTGATTAGCTTAGCCTGGTAGCGGACACCCTAACAGCACCTAAGCTTCACAGGAGCAAAAACAAACCAAATTTAAAAGGACAAGGGTAGGAACTATAGCAGAACGGACAAAGTGAGAGAACATAATCTTGACTTGGTTAAAGTGTCAACTGAATAAAATTGATGCTGTTCAAGTGGATTTCTCTAAAAATAGAAATAAAAACCTGCAGATATAGAGCTAATTTCAGCTTTTCTTTTCTGTATTGAACATTTCTTTGTTAGTTCCCAGGAAACCCAATAGTCTCCGATAAGCCTGAGCAGAATGGGAAACACTCTGTTACATCACAGAGGCTTTAAACAGCTGAGTTTATGGTCTTGTAAGGATGCACTGTCTCAGCCGTTACACATGGAAGTGGACCTTACACTTTCCCCTGGTGATGACTCCTCTGACAACTGATCTTTAAACCCTCGTCACCTCTTCGCACAGTGACAAGCAAGAGAGGAAAGATTGTGTTTGCGGAGAGAATGTGTCGTGACTGAGCTCTTTCCTTGGAATTTTCCTCTCATGCTTGCTGACGGGGCTGGATGTCAGTGAGAGCGTGATGATGCTGATGTGTGGTGGGGCTTCAGGGGGGGAACAATGTGTTCAGTGACGGGAACGGCTGCACGAGCAGCGGTGGCCGGAGCAGGTGTGGGCAGGAGGGGTTAGAGGGGTTAACGGCATGAGCTCTGTTGACATTGGCTCTTCTTTGCGTGCTCAGCCCACCGGTTAATATTCTGGCATCCCAAACATTCTGCAACATTCCACCAAACCACGGACAACAAGCCACACCTAAATGTCAGGAATTCTACAGGAGAAAGCCACCGTAATCCTGGCCTTAAACACATAAAGTCAAAACATTTTATTTTGCCGCTACTCAGTAAAGAGCCAGACGCTGTCCACCAAGGATCAGTGTTTCCTGGACAAGACACTTTAAGGGGTTAGTCCTCCTAGGGATGCTAATTTTAGCATTTTGATTTTTGATTATATAGATTGGAAAAAAAAGTCAGAAAAAATGCGAAAAAAATTTACGGCTAATGGCTGCAAATTCTGGTCGTTTTTAAAAAAAAGCCCAAAATCTATTTGCTATTGTTTATGGAAACAACAAAACTTAATTTCTCAATTTTGAGCAAAAATTTGAATTTCTGTGTGATAAAAAACATACAAAGATGATCGCATTTGTTGTTCAATCAATTTTCTGTCACCCATTTCATAGACCTTTGCAGCCCCTATCAGTTTGCTAACATCTCCTGCAAAGAATTCAGCTGCTGACTCATCACATTAGAGGTGGAAAGCATTTTTGGATTCAAAGAATGTCCTGTTTACCTTCGATAAACCAAAGGCCTCACTATAAACACTTCTGTGCAGTCTGCAGGATGTTCTTCTTGAGCACTTCAGACGGGGAATCATTGAAATATATATGTTTTGATTGTCAGGGAAAGTCTGTACTGACCTACTATATGTCTGAATGGAATAATATAGCATTCCTTAAATAGTGTCTACGATAAAAAAAAAGTCATTATTTGACTAGTTTGGTTTGATATCAACATATTCTATGTAAAACTGAGGTATCTGATTGTACAGAGCTTTATGACAGACTATCTTTGAAGTGGCAACTGAAAGTGAGTAGCCTACACATATCTGACACTATACTGGAGAACAGTCATACCTTAAATTCATCTAAAACATATAACAGCAGTTAGGCTAGTCCAGACCCCTGTTTGTTGTGCTCAGCTGGCCGGTTGCATAAAGAGAGGCAAGCAGTTTAATTTATCTTTAATTATGTCCAATATTAAAACAAATCAGGATCATTTTGCCGGTGCTGCTGCTGAATGGATGCTCTACTCTAGTACAGTTGTTCCATGACGCTCAAACAGAACACCTTGTTTGTAAAATGTGTTATTGTGGTATCATGAAAGTAATCCAAAAGTGAGGCTAAGCAGATCAGAGTGACCCTGTGCAGCATTATAACAGTCACAGTAGCAGCATATACAATACCCAGGCCCTGAATCACGTTGTATGTCTGCTGAGCAGTGGTGTAAGGGGGCCAATAGAAGTGGATTTTTTATTTCCCCCCAAACTTTTCTTTAAAGGGCCAGTTCAGCAGAGGATAACCGGCCTCTGTTATAAACAGTGACATGTAAGACTACTCTTGCATATTTAATTGACTTAAAAAACTTCCACTGCTAGACTTAAGGGAGTAGGGATTGTTATGAAATTAACATAATCCACAGAAGAAGAGCAGGTTTTATCATTTTAACAGGCAAACAGACTACAGGCTAAGACAACTACACCATCCAAGGGAAAAAAATTGCAACATTCTACTGAATATTGTGAGGGGATCTAGAAGTGTGGACGGAGACTGAAAAATAACCAGGTTAGTCCCGATACCTTCCCATAAACTGCACTACACCACTGCTGCTGAGTATATCAATGGTGGCTGATTTTAGCAAAGTTACAAATTCTAAATAAAAACAGAGAACTCTTTGTTTAACAATATTTAAAACAAGTAACAATATAAAAGGGACAGAGATAGTGTAAGAGGTTAGACCTTGTGTATTCCTCATTCAAAAAACTGTGGTGTGATGTGTCTTAAAGCTATGGATTTTACTTTGTATTATACTATTTATATTAAATTATGTATACTAGTTTTCATATTATCTCATTTAATTAGATAATGACACATTTAGAGATTCAAAACAACATTTAGTGGCCACTTGAGCCTTACATTGGCCTTGATTGATGTCTTAATTTGAGGTGTTGAGTGAATTAAGGTGGTAAAATAACAAATTGCAGATACAGTACATTTAGTTGGCGAACAATTTAAAATAATGTTAATGTAAGCTGCAAAGTTCAGTGGCCTGTAATATTATCCTGATGTTATTATGTAATTGTATGTTCACTGAGTTGGAAAATGTACACTAGGATCATGTGCCAGTAATGATGCCAAGTAAAACTAATGAACTGTAATAAGTCCTGGATTCCAGTGGTCATATGTTTGGCCATTATAACCATTGAAGAGCATGAAATGAGTGAATGATAAATTCAAAGTTTGTGTGCATCCCTTGAGGATGAAGCAGCAGTCCTGAAGGAGCTCTGCAGCAGGCCCGTCCCGGTGGTAGATGACAGACTGGCACGTTCATTCAAACGTGCTCGAAAATGTAAACGACAAGAAATAAGGCTGTGACATCTCTTTAACACCTTCAAACATCCGGTCAGGACGAAAACTCACCAGCCGTCGCACCACACCCGTATCCTTCGCCTCCTCTTCTCGGGACTGCACGCTGCAGCGCTGGGGGTCGTCCCTGCGTCTTTCCCGGTTGCTGCTGCTGCTGCGTTCACTTGGTGGTGGTGATGCCCGTTCTTGATCATTATTTTAAGCTGGTGGTTTATTCTTTTAAAATAATAATAAAAAAGTGCAACTACAGCTACAGAAGGTGTCCCTGCAAATGTGATGGTAAGCGGACCGTGTCTGATGTGTATCCCCTTTCAGAACAGGACAGCCGGTTTCTGTGTCAGGATCAGCAGCAGCAGCAGCAGCAGCAGCAACACCACTGCGATGCGCCAACGCCTCCTCGACCGGCGACGCAGCGACGCATGACGCACGACGCCCGGCTACGTCAAGTCGAGGAAAGAATGCAGGCACGTCGCGGAGGGAAGGAGAATTGCTCAGTAAACCCCATGCCATTCTCCTTTGTAGTAAGAGCCTTTATTTTGAAAGGCTCCGACCTGAAGAAAGGTGTTAACACTGTCGGACTTGACGCAGGTTGAATCGTACGATGAAGTGCCGGTGCACGCGGCCGACATGTTGTTACATAATAGCAGCGTTTTCCTCCGTCATGTGATAAATATCTGGATTCCCACAGACATAGCAGGCTATCTGCCAAGGCTGCCTTTGATGGAATGCCAGTACATTAACTGGACTTTCATTTACTATCATGCATCACTTTAAACTAACCAAATTCAACATAAGACTACATCCTGTATCACTTTATCAAACATAAAACATGAAAGCAATTAATAAAAATGTGTTTTTAAGTAAGTAGCACTATGGTAGCCTAATAGAAAGTGTTCACAATTATGACATAGTGTATCCTAATTAACTAGAACATAAAAAAAAGTTATAGCCAATGTTAGAGAAATAAAAAAGGCCAATTATGACAATTATGATCACAAAGCATCAGGCTGCATGACCATAAGTCAGATGGGCTAACATCAACAGCCCTGCAATAAATCTTTATCTGAGTGAAGATACAGTTTAGTGTCTGATGACACAGAGGGTTCACTGTGTTCCCTCCACACTGGTCATTTTGTGGTGCGATGTGTTGGCTTTACTCTTCAAAATGTGTGTCTGATCATCAATCAATGCCCTGAAAAACAGAGTTCAATTAAAGCCCTCATGCTTACACACTGTCACACTGCTGATTTTATCTTGCTTTACATGTAAGCTATTCTTAGTGTGTCACTATAGCATGGTAGTAAAACATTAAGTTTCCATCATTTGTTTGAACTAGCTGATCAGTATTACAATCTGTAAGTGAGAACAACACAACAATAATAAAGGGACATTTTTTTGTGTTTCACTGGAAATTCAAGTTTGGTTTAGGGGGGCGAGGATAGCGTGTCCTCTGTTTGATGAGAGCAGATAGTGCACTGGAGGGGAAATCCTTGTGGGAAGAGAATGTGGCATCATCTTGTGGAAAAACCCTGTTAAATCAGTCAGAGTCTTTACACTGAAGAGCCAGCAGAGGGAAACCCAAACCCACATATTGCAGAGCCAGGGCAAGGTTAACTCCTTCACAAAGGCAGTCATACAGTATTTATCTAGTCCTGTCTGTACAGTTGTATTGAGTCTTTATCAGGCAGGACTGCACACAGGCGTGTTGTGCTTCATATAAAAAATAAGATTGTATGTTGCATCCTCCTGTGCTTCATCATTGCAGAGAATTTGTTTAATTTCTGATTTGAACAGGAATAAACAGCTTCCCCTCTCCCCCCGAATGTCCTCTACCATCGGGACATTTGCCCAGAGGAGCCCCCATACCATGATTTGGCAGCACAGACGTGCAAAATGAACAGCCTCACTGATGGAAATGGCAACATTAATTGTGCAGCGGGGCTGAGCTGGGAGAACTGGGGCAGGCACCTGCTGCAGAAGTGGGTGAAGATGAAGAATGCTGTCCTACATATCGGCCACCAGCTCACCTTAACCCAACCTGCCAAATTAATCAACCCTTCAGAGGCCATTGGGCTGTCTGGGGCAGGCATCCGAGGAGGGAGAGAGGAGCCTGTTTTTAAGGCACAGGTCACTTAGACCTGTAGGAGCCGCCTTCATTTATAAGAACAATACTAGGCTGCTGTGCTGGTGCAGAAGCACTGGGGGTTGGACTTGCCCTGCAGGATGGAGTGGTAAGACGCAGCTTGTCTTCAGCCATCTGTCTCTGTGTCTCTGCATGTGCTCTCAGGAGATGTGTTTTGAATGTGCTGGGGTTGAAACGCTGCTGAGGAGGGTGATGTTTGATGAGGTGCGCCGAGACAGAGGGGGTTTAGGAGGCCCACAGGGAGCGCAGATGACTAACTCACTACTCCTCCTAATCTAGGACAAGCACACCTAGACATCCTTCATGACTCTAATGTTTTACTTGTGTCGGGCCAAAAATATGTCCACCGAGGTTAGCCAAAGTGGGTCGCCCAATGGCTTTTTTTGGATCATAGAAAAAGAAATCGTGCCATCTAAATGATCGCTGTCTTCTCATACCCACCCTGGACGGCAAAAAAGCCTTCCCCGCCAGTTTATTTTTACAAGTATCAAAGTGGGTCACTGACGCCACAGAATACGACAAAAAACCCAATTTAAAGAGGGTTTTTTTTAACGCCTCCAAAGACACAGCGGCAGTGCTTAAAATGCTTTTTCAAAACATTTTTATTGGTCTTATAGAAAATAAAGTAAGCTGTATCAACAAACATACAATATATACATCAATAACTTAGACACCTCAGAGAATCACGTTTAAATCCACAGTTGTTACTGTATATATGAATACATAGTACTTATCTACAGATTGCAAAAAGTACAATAATTTAATTTATAAATAGTTACAATTAACTATTGTCTGTTTTCATACAAAGTACTGCAATATTTTTATAACAACCCATACAGAAAAATAACAAAACAGATTATTAATTTTGTATTACTTGCTTTAGATTTGATACCTTTTTAAACACAGACCCACTCCATGAAGTAAAGAGGGAAAAAACCTGCACAGTCGACTGTTTACAAAGCATACTCTCATGGAAAAAAGCCAATGTCTCGAGAGCTAAGAAATTCACACAAGTGCTGTTACATTATCCTCTCTTACGCAATGCTTTTGAAAACAAAGCAGACGAGAAAAATAAAAAATATATTAAAAAAAGACAACTAATTAAAAAGTAAATCTGCAGAACAAATTACAGTGTAAAGATCAATTTTCAAACAACACACTTGACACATGATGAGAACACAAACGCTGTGGATGATGCTACAGCAAAAAACGACGAGCATTAACGACTGGTGTAGCAGCAGAGGAACCTCAAACGTACAAAAAACACACACACGCACAAACACACGCATACCAAAGAAATACAAAATATATTGCAAGTGGCCCTTGTGATAAAATCTAATGTAGCATCCTTTACACTCAGTGCACAAACGTTAACATGTCAGCAACATCTTTCAGTCTGATATCCTTGTCCAATTTCTTGATCCGGTAATTCATTCGATTTAAGACCAGAGTAACAAGTGAGTAAGGCTAAGTGCAACTGTCCGAATGTTCCTTTTTTTTTTTTTTAAACAGTGTTAACATGTTAGCTACTATAACAACAAGGGCCGCCTGCTTTTCCCATGAAGGGATTCAACATGTGAGGGTGAAATAAAAACACAGTTTACAAAAAAAAGAACTACAAAACAGCAAGAGTTTTTAAATAACAGACCATAGTCACTTTGACAATATTGATTACTCGTACATCTACTCTTTCACACCTTTTCCACTGAGTTGCATATTAAGGGTCACTTTTTCACAATGGTCATCAATACCTACTGTAGCTACATATTATACACCTGTATGTGTGTGTGTGTGAGAGAGAGAGAGAGACTCGTCATCTCTAGCAGAGATCGAGACATTGGTCGACGGTCGGTGCCACTCGAAACACCTTAAAGACACTTGACACCAACAAAGATTCACTCCACAAGACTGCCACAGCAATAAGGACGCCAACATCAATACTGGGCTATGTCAAGAGTTGGATAAATATTTTTCCCACAGTTAACCAGTCATTGTAGATAGCTAAGCATGTTGACAAAGTGAGGGTAGAGATACTTGCACACACAGATCTCTGGCATGGAGTTTTGCTGAGGCGAAGTTTTGCAGATTAACACCTCGCCGACACTGTAAGACATTCTGACCAGCAGGAGAGTGAGATCTGGATGAAGTGCTTTCTGTTAATGTCATCTTTACACTACTGCCACCTTGAGAGGTTGAACTCTTAGATTGCCTTCTTAGAGGACCACAAGAGTGATACGACTCTTGGCACAGAAGAAGTGCTGCTGACAGCTGTGGTTGATTGTAATTCTACATGCTCACGCTGTGTCTCTTTCTGAGTGTGGATTGAAGCCCTTTATGACATGTTCAATATTAAAGAAAAATAGGTGGGGGGTAGGGGGTGGGGGAAATGAACAGAGCTGCCATCCCTGCCTCCCTTCTTATCATATTGAAAGGTTTGTTCATTTTCTAGAGTGACCCGTTTGTCCTGAGCAAAACAAACAGGAGTTTAGTGCATACAAACCCTCGTCCAATCCCTACCGCTATTTCTGAAGTCTGAAAGAAGTGGGTGAACTCACACAAGTGATTCTGCACCATGTGGCTCTTACCCTTTTAACTTCATTGATCCATAGCTAGCTTTTAGTCTTGAGAATGTCTGACGTTTCCCCACAGATTTGAGGGAAAAACCAGTCCACAGATTAACTTTGGAAGTCTTAACACAGAATTATTTCAATGTCTACAGTGAAATTTAAAGGTTATTTATTGTTATCCCTGTGATCTAATTTAGCTGTTCCAAGACTTTGAGAAGAATAAGATCTCTCCAACAACAGAGGCAAAGTCCTCCCCCTTGAGATGCACCCAATGTGACATTGTTTGTTTAATCTTGTTTGAATTGTGCCATGAATTACACATGATGTTTTTCAATTTATATCATTGCAATAAGTTCCCCTTTAAAAAAACAAAAACGAGTCCCTTTTATTTTTGTCATCTACCCACAATCCTTCCTCCGGCATATGTTACTTCACCTTCACCAATATGGCCCTCACCCTCGCCTATTAAAAGAGGTGGAAATATTAAAAGTCTTTGAAACAAACACAACTCCAACCAATAGGAGGCAGCATGCAGGGCTGGCTCTACACGGTCAACTTTGGGTTTGAATTCTACGTTATGTATTTTTAAAGTCTTACACTTCAACAATTGAATGAAAAACTGCATATTTCATGACATGCTTATTGTTTAAATTGATAAACATCATTTTGTGTATTTAATGCACAATTCAATCGAGTATTTGTCTTTTCATTATTGACTAACAAAAGTTGTCAAAATGTATTGATACACGCCTCTAAAAAATTATATCCACTTTTTAATAATCGATAGTCATTAAAAAGAAACATTCTGTATTTAAAAAAAAAACTGCAGACCTTCAGGCATAGTTTTAACCAAAAGCTTCTGCAAGTGAAAGAGACAGAGAGCACTGTGGAAATCCCACAAATACAGTTCTGAAATGTAGTTCTTTTTAAAAAAAGATTTGGTATTTGTGTAATTTCTACAGTGTCTGGGAGTTCGCCTGCATTTTGTGAATTAAAAATACCTAGAAATTAAGACCTGTTTTTTTTTTTTTTTTTTTAATCGCAAGGTATCAAAACAGGACTCTACAGTGTTTGATTTTCACTAGAATCTAGTTAAAGTTTAAAAATGTAGTATCATGGTTGATCTAATCACCATACATATTACTTCTGAAAAAAGGTCTCATGATGGTACACCCGAGGGTCGGGTAGGGGGGGGTCTCACCTCTGTATGAAGGCATTTACTCTCAGGTCACAGAGGCTGTATTTAGAGGGCATCCAGCACCTGGTGCATCTGTTACACAGATTCTGCAATGCCAGTTATCGCTTTAATCTTCAGATTAAAGTCTTCAGAGTTGATTTTTTGATGTCATTTCCCCCTGATTCTGTCTCACATGGCTCAATGTGGTCAACTTTGAATGACAGTATGATTTCGTAACTAACACCAAGGAAGCGGAGGATATCACAGATGCCAATACGCACAAAGACAATTGACCTTGTTTACACCACCTAGTTTAGCTCTACAGATTTGTTTTAAATAGCACAGCATTGACATCTATACAGTGAACGACACTGCCAACTTGTCACTTACACATCACAGCACGCGCTACCCCACAGTACGCGCCTAGTCACTAGAAAAAAGCTATCAGACTTCAATAGTAAGCCACTGTCGGTACAATTGCAAAAAAGATGTCACAGGTTTTTTTAGTTTTTTTTTTAGTTTTCCTTTTCTGTATTTATATAAACAATGGAAGTTATTCTACCTAGTAATAAAAACCGAGAACTCAACATTAGACAAAGTTTCTACACCTTAACAATTCAAACAGTAAAGCTTGTGTAAAGATTTTCTTTTGGAAATATCTGACGGCCCTGTCAACAAGTAATTACAAAAAATGCAATATATATCTTTTAAACAAAACAACTTGAACATATTTTCTCTATGAGCAAAAGTTATGTCTCAAAATGTTTGTGGATTTCACTGTCCCCACAAAACACGAGGATATTACTGTTATAACATTCAGGTTTTCAGATATTGTAGAAGAATCTTGTCATACTGGAATGGCACTCAGCTCTGGAACGATATCTTTAAGAACTGCTGATCCTTTTTTTTTTTTTTTTCCACTTTACCATAAATATGCAAGACCTCTTTGTATTTTCAGTGCATACATATATTATTGCATCTACCAGTCATATTGATTATGACAAGTTCATTAAAGCCTGTCACAAACTTATAAACAGAAATCAATGCCAGATTCAGGAGCATTATTTCAAGCTTATGTTCTTGACAGACAACCAACAAAAAAATTGCAAATTGGGCTTGATTAACTGGTTTTAGGTTAGTCAGGCTGTTTTGAAGACATCTGGAGAATCCACACCGAGTTTCTTATGCATCCCAATGTAAGTCAGTGCATGATAACAAGGAAGGGTTTATAGTGATGTACTGTCTGTGATGGCTCTTTCTCCAGTTTCAGATGGCAAACTGGAGAGGAATGACATCCACGATTTTAAGATTTGTAATCTTTCCAGTTGTGATAAGCTCTACGACTTCAAGAATGCCCATTCTTAGGACGGAAAAAACTTAAGAGCTCAGTCTTAAAGAAACAGATACATGACATACTGTACCTTACCCACAGATATTGCCTTCTTAATTATTGTGTAACCACAATCTGATTTTTAAATGAAATGTATCAGTATTGCCAAAATGTTGCTGTTCTTGAAATGACCAACTTCTGAATGTTTTTGTGTGATTGTGTCACCCATAAGCACGATGTGTCTGTTGACAGGTACAGACTGCAGAATCATCCTTTCGAGGTGAATTTGAGAAGAATACTGTTAGTGTTAGTAACAAGGGTTAAAACTGAGAACTTCAAAGGGTAAACCGTTTCCATGTTACAATGCACTGACCAGTTAAGTCTTGAACATCTTCCCCTTCCTCCTTTCTCCTACTACGACCTAGCCTCCGTTTTAGATTTGACGATGGTGATGACGCTGGTGGCGGCTACTTTACCAGGGATGAGGGGCCCTATGACAGAGGCCATAGGTCCCCTGGCTGAGGTGACGGGATTACGGGTCACAGTCCTGGCGAAGCTCTGAAGGGCCTCGTACTTTGAACGCAGAGCGTCCAGCTCCACCTTCATGCTGGCGTTCTCTGTGGCCAGCTTGTCCACCTCCTGCTGCAGCTGAGCCTTCTGCTTCTCGAGCTCCTCTTTCTGGGTGACGCGCTTCACTCGGCAGCTGGCAGCGTAGCCCCGGTTCTTGAGGGTGCGCCGCCGCTGCTTCAGCTGGAGGATCTCATCCTTGGTCAGGCCTCGTAGATGCTGGTTCAGCTCCCTCACTGACATGGTCACCAGCTCGTCATCGGTCAAGCTGGTGCCATTTTCTCCTGGCTCCCGCTTCACCTGAGGAAATTGGAGGTTAGTAGGTGGCAGATTTGATATTAAAATGTATTATTAGATTATTCACAAATTGATTTCTGTCAGATAGGCTGATTACCTTCAAGGCCTTGTTTCCCTTGTTTGTGGTAGTCATGCCACAAGAGCCGCGTCCACCTGTACTGCTGCTTGTTCTGTTGGTAAGAAAAGTCAGCATAAGGAACACACAATCTGAGGAATTAAGAATAAGAACATGACTGTGACATACACAACAAAGTATTTTTCTGGCAATGAAGCGAAAGCATGACTCAAATACACAAGTCCTTCAGATTCACAAGGCGGAGAAGTGGGTCAAGGACTTAACACTTCATTGCAAGTGATGCCAAGTCTGTTCTGAGAGAGGTACATGGACTATTTCTTCCCCTGTCAATATGAGCAAAGAAAGCATTTGTGGTATGCATTTCCCCCCTCCAACACACATCTACCGAACGGCAATGTGTTGAGTCATAAGGAGGATCAGATGTTATGCTGGCAGGGGTTCACAAAGATCTATTTGAAAACCAAGCTTAAATAAATAAAGCCTCTTAGAGCAGAAACAGCAGAGGACATGGATGGACTGAACCAAAAAAATAAAAATCAAATTTTTTTTGTTTTCTACTGCTAAAAAACAAACAGGGCATGCTTTATCTACTGTACCAGTTATCTAGTCTAGACAGTAAAACCTGTCTAGATTTGCTGATGCATGCCTATAATCCCATAAATCAATGAGAAAGGGAGATACTGCTACTACTGCAGAGCCACAGCTATCATCCAGAAGAAATGGGCTGCATTGCAGTTAATTCATGTCAGGATTGAGGGAACTCCAAAAGACGCTGTGCGGACGAGAAATCTAACCCATTGGTGTAAAAACATGCAAAAGGTTGGTTGCCTTGCACCGTGTGAGCTCTGTCACAGGATAAATATGCAAACACAGACACACACACACACACACACACACACACGGTACTGGCCCTGGGTGCTTTACACTACACACGGCAAATGCTGTGTCAGCGACACGGGCACCGACCACAGTCAGCCCAGCCAGCACATTGCCTCTGTAAGCTGATTTACACCGCCCAGCAGTGTGTTTGTGCTGAGCACATAAACAAATACATGTGGGCTTTTACTACTTTCCAGCATCAAAAACAGGAAACAAAAGACCCCCCCCCCCCACCCAAAAAAAAAGAATCCTCAGAAGAATCACTGTCAGTGTGTGTTTATAGCTTACACAATCACTAACCTCGTCATCATGTATATGTATGCTGTGTGCACAGAAGCTCAGAGAGGGTAGAAAAAGAAAAGGAGATGAGTTGTTGCTCAGAAGTGCACTAAGATGGCCATGATATTTCCATGGCAACAAAGGGGTGCTACAGGTGGACTGGTCACCTGAGCCAAACAGGGAGAGACAGGCGCTTGTTAAAAATGACCTGAATACGACACTATCACACAGGCAGGGGACATTACATGGGGTCAGACTGTGACTTGCATTCTTGATGCTTTTACTTCAAAAAGTCCTCTGGCTTGTCATAAAATGGCAACACTTCCCTGTGCTGCAGATGCCAATATAAAAAGCCTTTCACATTCTGCAGAGGACTTTTAAAATGTGATACTTTCATCCCAGTTGGACCGGCTATGAATAGCCGACTGATAGTAACACCTACCTTTCATCGGCCTTTGTGGTGACTCATTTCCAGTAAGCATTTGGACCACAGATGCAAAACATAATGGGATAATGGGCTGCCTGATGATGCACAGATAATGGACAAATAGACAGGAAAGTACTCCACTAATAGCTACTGGGATGAGAGGAGAAAAAAAAAAGGCTGCTTCTTCTAAATTTCATAAGCCTATCATTTTCCCCTCAGCTGCCTAGACCCAACATTGTTCAAAAGGCAGTTGAAACCTTGAAAACATAGAAAGACGGCACAATGTCCAGACTGAGGAGGCGTTTTCTGTCACACAGCTGTGCAGGGTAACACAGTAGGCAAGGCTTGGCACGCTGAAAGCCCACCATATGACACTCTGGAAGGATTGCGCCCAGGCTTCAACCCTCCAGCACAGGCTGCTGCCAACAGACGGCTACCAATGACAGGGCATGGCAGCACAACACAGACAAGGTCCAATGCACAGCTGCTCCCTTCCACTACCAGGCATGTCATACCTCCCGGAGACAAAGAGGCATCGCTCACACAAACACATAGAGAGAAATAGAAAGGAAAACACACCTGTAATTTTAAAACCCAAAATCATGACAGGGACATTTTCAGATTTGCTTTGATGATTTGGTTACAACAAAATGCCCTCGCATTTGACAAGTTCATCCTCTTAACAGTCTTAAGCAGAGACAGGAGTGTCTTCCCTGAACACATGTTTTTATCTCTATTAATAGTTTCAGGTTTGATTTTTGAGCCTAGCAAAAAAAGCAGGAGGAGAAAGCTGCTAAACTTTGAGCACCGGGGCAGCAAAGGTAGGGAGCAAGCGCAGGGACACATAAGTCTTTTGTAGGTGTTTGCTGAATTTTTATGAATCGCCTGAAAGAACGCTGACAAATCAGAGCTGATTGCTTGTGTAGGAGAGACATCACACCCACAGGAAACAGAAATCGCTGAGTGTGGTCACCCAGAGAAAGAGAAGGAGGGGATGGTGAGAGAGACAGATAGAGGAAGAGGGAGAGAGAGAGAGAGAGAGTGAGAAGAAAAAAAAAAGAGAGAGCAAACAGCCTTGTAAAAAATGCACACTCAACACATTTAGAGGAGCCTGAGAAGAACAGGTTGGTGGAAAAAAAAAAAATACTGATCTCAGCAAGGACCAAAACCAAGGTGCCAATTAGGAAGTTGTGAAGTTGAACTAACACAACGAGAGAAACCCGGCCAACCTTCAAAAGCTGTCTGTGTTCATCTAAATCTATAGAGGGCAGCTTGCGAAGGTGGGGTGGGCTAAGGTTGAGACTCAAGGGGTGTTTAAAAAAATAAAATAAAAAAAACTCTGGTGGGATAAATGCTGATGTGACATGATAGGTCCGGCCTTGAGCCTGTGTCATGCTTTAACGATCTCAGCCCCTCCACAGGATCTCTCCAGGGGGGCTGCCAAGGATGGACACCATTAGCCAGGGGACCCTTTGTTGAGGGGGAACTGAGGCTCCGGCATCCATGCACTGTGTCCCCTGATGAATATTTATCACTGTCGTTCACCGCCTAAGGTGGGGGTGGGAGACAGGGGCGGGGGCGGGAGGCTGAATAAAGATGCTCAGGAGGTGATTCTTCAAGGATACATCCAAGGCTCTTCCATCAACGTCTGTCTCAAAATGGCGGTATATGCTGGTGGGGGGCTGTGAAGGGGGGGGGGGGGGGATGGGGTGGATTTCTGGTACTCGAGGTGGCACGCATGGTGGTTCAGGGCTGCAGGGAGAGCCAGCTCCACTTGACAGCAGTGTAACAAGATTATCAGGGCCATAAGAGCAAACAAAAACCCCAGCAACCTGCCTCAGAATCCAGATTACGACAGCGTCTGCTCTCTGAATACTAAACAACACGACCGGGGAGGACTAACAGGGCGCAGGCTTTACTGAGACATGACACTGTATTTCATATCACACAACTAATCACACGCACACGCATCCACACAGAGACAGATTACCAAAACCACACAAGCACACGTAAATTTAACGTGTCATGATCAATTCCTGAAAAGAAGCGTCCGAGCGCTTGGCACCGGCGGCCTGCTAATGAAGTGAATAAAAGCAGACAGTGGAGGTGCATGCTGATGAAAGCACGGGCAGCATCCAACAATGGCAACACAGCCCTGTGAAACTAACAGCTGAATATCATCTCACAGCAGACAATGCATTTCACTCCAAAAGAATAACACACAGTGTGGCTCATTTACAACTCGGATGCTTAGTTGAAATGTCTTCCCTCTGTTATGACCGCTCCAGATTTGCAAAGGTTTGAGCAGCCATTAGAAGACACAGGAAGCAGCTCTGGCTGAAAGGAGAAAGAGGCCCTGTCAGTGGTTTTCATGGATCTCCTTGGGCTACTTCAGAGAACTGTGGGGTGGACTTGAGATGGTTTTAAATGCAAGTAAATAAAATATTAGACATGATTCTACAACAATAAGTGTGATTTAATATTCAAATTGAATAAATCTCAATTTGGACAATTAGTACTCCTTTTTAAATGTAATCGTTTACTGATTTAAACTGTCAACTGCTGTAAAAAAACACAATATGTTCAACTCTGTTTTTTGTATATATATATATATATATATATATATATATATATATATATTTACCGAATACATTAGTGGTTGAAAGGCAGCAAATAAAAAATATATATTATTCTTCAGCCCTTTTTTCAAAATCTCATGGAGTGTTGTGCTTTTGTCGCCTGTTTCTAACCAAACACACTTGTCACTGATTGATTGGTTAGGTCGTCAAAATGTTCAAATGTTTTAAAACCATACAATCTCCCTTATTTAATGATCAATACTGTTTTAATGAGTATCAAAAAGGACCAAAAAAAGTCTGCTGTCATAGTTTTTAATCCAAAGCTGTCGTGAGATAACGAGGGAGCGCACTGTCTCAATAACACAAATACATTGAAAACATTTTGGTTCCTGAAATGCTGGCAACGTATTTGGCTGGAAATTTTAATTTTCTAAAAAAAAAACTGAACTAACCCAATACTTGGTGCCAGCAAGTTGCTGCATTATCAAAACGTGTATGGATAGCTTTGATTTTTCCGAATATCATAAACAATTGAAATGATAGTATCATGACAACTGCACTTGGCTGAAAACATATTTCCAAGGTAATAGGTACATAAATGAACTCTGGGAGAACAACTGCCCCTGATCAGAGAGGTGTTTAGCAGTGTTTTCAAACCCCCGTCTGCACATTTAAGACGATTAACACAACGCAAAAGAAGAGAGCTGGATGTTAAGCCAGTATGATCACCTATTCAGTTTCCCTGATCAATAATGTATCAGACTTGTAGCCTCCCGCTCCATTATCATGGACTCAACACACGGAGTAGAATGATGATAACTACAAAGATAGAGAGAGACCCGTGAAGAGTGTGAAAAACAACAGAAATGTCAGCGATTTCTCATCGGGGGCTTCGGCTCATTAATTCATACTTTGTGCTTATTTGTTCTC